GGGGCTGGGCGGGAGCCCGCTGTGGGAAAGCGTTTGCCGGCGAGCGCTGTCACCGTGCGGGAGGCGAGTCGGAGGATTTTCGTCTCAACCGTTTTCGTGGTGCTGGTTGTCGCGTCAGTGTGCCGTCCCGAGTCGGTTCCATCTCCTGCCGAGATACGTATGAAAACGTGATCAGCTTTTCTTCTGTAGGAATAGTGTTAATTGCCCTGACACCTAGATGCTCAGGATTTTGAAGGGGTATAATAATAGTTTGAATAAACCATCTTCACAGGTTTCCTCAGATTAGTAAGATATGCAAGTATATTCTCTAACTCTTTGAAACGTGTTCCTTACACTAAATGAATGTGGAGCTATAACTCTGAGTTAGTGACATTACCCTAAACTGCAGTTACTTCCTTCGCTGCTACTCTTTGTCATTTTGTGCAACAGGCGAACGTCTCTGCAACTGCTTATTAAACTGGATGAGGGAGCTGATCAGGTCGGAAAATAAATGAGAAAAAGAATTTTCCTTTGGTTCTGGTTCAACACATGACTGTGCAAACACTTGAGCTGGCAAGTGGGGAAAAGTGTTCTCTCTCTCTCTCTCTCTCTCTTTCTCTCTCTCTCTCTCTCTCTCTCTCTCATTTTTTTTTAAGCAGTGTTAGTGTAATAGTGTAAGTTCATGATGGACCAGCCTAAAATTCAACAAAGCTAGCTAGCCACTGCAAAATTTTAAATACATCATTGATAGGCACTGTTGCTGCAAGAGAGATGCAAATAAGTAACTAGCATACTCTACTGATTTTCTAAGCTGTATTCACATTACATTGTGTTATAAGGTGTTGTTAACAACAAAGACCAGTATGTCTTTATAACCTATGACTTAAGCAGATGATGCTCTCAGCGGCTGAAGGAAGCACAGAGTAGCCTCTGTCTTGTCTGCAGACAACTACAATGTTAACAGTCCCATTCATTTTAGTTGTGTGCACGCATACAATGAAACTTAAAATATTTACAAAACTAAGGCTTGAGATTTTCAATTATGTTGCTGCATAAAAAATACTTAAAAATTAGCTTTTAGTAAACAACTAGATTTCTTAACAGTACAGAACATTAGGAGATATGGAAGTTGCAAAGCAAACACTTTTTCTTTCACAACCACTCAGAAGACATGTCTTATATCTTACTTTCAAACTCCTTTTGCAGAAGGAAGGAGCTCCTTTGACAGAAAAAGGGGTTACTTTCACTTACAAATTGAAGCGTGTGTGTTATAATAAAATTAGGAGCTATGACTGTGGGTCTGCTGTAACACTGCAGGCCATTTTTCAGAACACTAGCCTTTTAGGCTATTTATTTTGGGCTTTCTTGTCCAGCAAGTGAAATTACTATTTTGGGGGAGAAATAAAATAGGGTAAAGGACACTTAGATTGTGAAGGCAAACACTGGGAAACCAGGGAGTGATAAAATTAGGGCCTTTCATAATTCTCTTCTGCTCCTTTGTATCTGCCTTGCAGTCTCTTCTTTCCCCCCTTTGTTTTTGTGCTTTTGAGAGGCAATTTCGTCTTCAGCACCTCCTGGTTATGAGCGGCAGGCATCGTAGTAGCTTACAGGAATGGTGTTCATTTTCTTTTCTCTTTGCATCTATTTAGTGAGGTTGCTCTGCACTTTGTGGAATCTTTTAAAAAAGTTTGTCTGCACCGCGCTTGCGTTCGTTACCACTGCATCGTTCTGATGTGGCCACGCAAGCCAGAAAGGCTGAGAAGACATAAAAGGATAGAGGTGACAGTAACTACTATTTTTGCTTGTCTCCCTTTGACTTCTGGGAAGACATACTGGTGCTAGTGAGCAAAAACAATATCAGTTCAGATCCGGTCTATAGACCAACCATTTAAACCTGCTGAAAGAGTTACAGTTGTGTGTGTTACCCAGCGTAAGGACATTTTTAGCGTGGGAAAACAGTAAGAGATTAAAAAAGATGATGATAGGAATAGTAGTTTACTAAATGCAGTATGCAGGTGTTCCACCCATACGTCTACTTTTAGCTTTACTTACGCTAACAGTGTATTGTAAGTCTAGAAGTCATTGGATATGAGAAGTAAGAAGTGAATCAGAGCCTTTCATGGCCATGGGTCAGAAAACCTGTGTATTCTCAGACCAGCGCGTGGGTCTAATGGTTGTATTATGTAGAGTAGGATAACTTTTCATTATTAGGAGATACTTACTTCTATTTTGTAGAACAGGTTATAGAAGATAATTGGATACTGTTAATCCTAAGTTATATTAGTGATAGAATAATAAGAAAAGGACTCCAAGTTAGTGCTTCTTTTGCACAGAACTTCTGTTCTTACAGAGGTTTCCATCTGTG